AAAAAGACAAAGCTTTACCTGTTAAAACTTCTAAACCGAACTTCGTCACCTTCTTCATGTATTTCGGAAATAGCTTGCTTGATTAGTTGTGAAATTTCTTAGTTTGTTACGGTAGCAAACGGGAAGGCATTTTGCTCGCAACCTACGCGAGTTTGGCAACGCTCGTTCGCTCGGAGGAACTGGAGGTGAATCAGTGAATAGTGCAGGATATTCACTGATTGAGTAGCCAATCAGAGCGCGCAAAAAACACTATCCACTGTTTTAGTATATTATATATTATGTTGGCCGGGGTATTTCAGTGGGGGTTGCATCATATTGAACATTCGGGGAACCCTCTAGGTGATCTATCGATTCCTCGTGGTTTTCGACGGACTCGACATAACCGACAGAAGAAAGTTATCGTCGCCTGCGTGTCTTTTAACCAGGTTAGTCCAGCGAATTGTTCTCTAGTGCTTCCCTACGGAAGTTTCATTGATTACTTCTTTTTGACAACCTGTGGGATATTAGGTTTTTTTCCATACCGATCGTGCAGCTTTGCTGTTTGCAGTTCGGCGCATCGTGTCATTTTGGCGCCATTTTGAGGAATTATTCTAAGCTTCCATGCATTTATATTCTACGTTTTCCATTTTCCCCGTTTTCCTTTTGTCCGATGGCCTCGCCTATCCCAAATGTACTTATCGCGGTTCATTCTTTTGTTAAGAGGCTTCACTCTGATTTGCAATGCAAATTTGATCACCATGCCGCCGTAGATTTTAATTTAAGTCAAACTGCTAATGTTTCTGTCTAAGGCATCGGTGGGTTGACCGTCCCGCGATTAGCCCGGGAATTACGCCTTCAATTTGCTAAGGAGCCGCTTTCTAGGGTCATTATTCTTGAAATCGGGACAAATGATCTTAGTTCGCAATCCTTGGCCGTTTTGCCGGGACAAAACGAAAAGCTCCGGGATAGTACACAGCTCCTAAAAACCTCTAATTTCATTGGTTCTCCATAACACGTAGCTCCATTGTTTTAGTGATAGAGTCATTGTTACATTTCTATGTCGATTGTTTTCACAGCCAATCCTATGAGGCCAGGTAAAAAAAAGTGGCCTTAATGACGAGGTCACCGTATAATCGAGGTGGCCGTAAGACGGGGTTCCACTGTACTTTTATCGCGTAAAAAGTATGACAAATTCATTGAACCGGGTTCAAAAATCTAACTAGCACGCCACAGGCGGATATAGAAAGCTATTTAGTGCCTTTAAACGTGAGGTTGTACAATTTTTTGCGGCAAAAAACCTTACCGTAAATCACTTACGGCTGCAACCCCTTCCTGCCGTTCAAACGTGAACTGCAAATGCGACCGCAAGACCGTGGTCACGTGACATTCTCAGGTTTGCGGTTTCTTATGAAAAACCTGCACTGATGCTAAAGGTCTCAAATGTATAATAAATTACTGCAGTACCATTTACAGTCACTTTAGCGTTTCTAAGATTACAACGCTCACCATTACTACTAGGGCCAGCAGGTGAAGGAGTAGTTCCATTGGCTGATACAACACCACCAGCAGTAGGAGTTGGTGCTTGTCCACCTGTAGAGAGATTTAGAGGCTGAACAACAGCAGAAGTAGAAGTATCAGCTGCAGTAGGACCATTAATAACAGCTTATTAAAAAAATACAAACGTTATCTAATGGATATGGAACTCTTTTACATATAACAAGTTTAACAAAAACCTCTATCGTGTAACTGTCTTTTAATGTATGAACAAAACCTAAACGTTAAAAACATAGAAGACCCCCCAAATTTATCAACAATATTTCCCGGTGTTTATAAACAAAACACTAGGGAGGTTTCTAGGTAAATTAATTACCGCAGTACCATTTACAGTCACTTTAGTGTTTCTAAGATTACAACACTCACCATTACTACTAGGGCCAGCAGGTGAAGGAGTAGTTCCATTGGCTAATACAACACCACCAGCAGTAGAAGGAATTGGTGCTTGTCCACCGGTAGAGGGATTTGGTGGTTGACCAACAGCAAAAGTAGACGTATCAGCTGCAGCAGGATCATTAATAACAGCATTATTATTCAAAGAGGTGTCCAATGGATAAGGAACTCTTTGACACGTAACAAGTTTAACAAAACCTCTATCGTGTAACTGTCTTTTAATGTATGAACACAACTAATTCAAAACATACAAGACCCCCAAAATTTATCAACGATATTTTGCGGTGTTTATAATCAAAACACCAAGAAAAACAACAATAAATAAGGGGGAGGGAGGTTGGCTTTGTTTTCAAGATTTAGAGTCTCTTGGCCCCTAACGTTTTTTTAATAGCTGGGAGGAGGGGTCATCGGTTTCTCTGAACCATCAAAGTATTAACCAATTAGGTTAGAAGTAATAAGTGCGAATGGTTTCACTGATCAGCAGCGTTCCCTTAAGAATGAGCAATTCTTTAATGTTTGTTACTGGCGATGCAAAAGTACTTGAAAATAGCGTATTAACATCCTTTACGCCGGACTTCTTCAGTCTGAAGAATAGACAGCCAAGTACCATGTTCCTTTCGGAAATCGTGACTGATAAACCAGGGGGGGGGAGGGGGAGGTGTCTCCAAGGAAATCTGTGGTACAGTCCGCCTGCCAGTCTGACGTCACGTATCGCGTCAGTGACTTTCAAAATGGCGAGCAAAGTATTCTTCGAATTGACGGATAAAAATGTCGATTTTCTTTCGGAAATATTGTTCCGATTTCTTGGATTTGGAGATTTTAAGGTCCCTATTGTCATAGAAAACTAGACTTAAGTACGTTTTTGGAATGAAATGTCCAGTGGTGCAATGAATTTTAAAGATTCCTTTCTATCGTCGAGCAAATTTTACGGGCAATCATACCGATCGGTCACACTTTTGAGGGCCAGTGCACGGCAAGATTGAGGAATTTAGACACAGCAATAGGAGGTTCATCAAAGGATGTATTATACTTTACGTTGCGCGTATTTTCAGCTCTTCAGAGCTAGTGGAACCCCATATCAATCCTTTCAAAGTTCGCTTAGCTGTAGCGTTGAAAAAGGAAGCTAGGTGACAAGTATTTTTGAGAGACTGTCAGCACTGAATCTTGTTGCTTTACCGCATTTTATTAGGCCGACACCTGTAATTCTGTAATTTAATCCCGAAAACCAATACAGTGAAACCTGTTTTAAGCGGACACCCTCTATTAAGCGGACAGTAACCGAAGTCCCAAAATTTATTTCGCTTATTTACTTTAAATGAAACCTTTATTAAGCGGACACCTCTAATAAGCGGACGCGGACACCTAAAAAGTACCTGAAATAGTCAATCTCATATGACGTTATCTATCGAAACCTGTTTTAGGCGGACACTCTGTATTAAGCGGACACTACAGCATTCGCCGAGGGTGTCCGCTTAATACAGGTTTCACCGTAAAAGGTTTCGTTTAATT